TTATATACAAACAAACAAATCGTATAGAATGCAAAAACAGGGCTTTGACATTAGAGTAGAGCGCTACTTCGTCGTAATCGCCCATTTCCGTTCTATCGATCAGAAAAGATCAATAATATCAATGATTTCACCGTGCACAAATCAATAATAAGTTTGTCCCGATGCGTTAGTTCATTAGCTACAACATAAATCCTGTTAGAGCGCATTGTATGAATATTTACGCTCATTGTTCTTAAAATAAAAGAAGCGCTCCTAGCGAATGCTCTTTTTCTACGTTTATCCGTAGGACGAAGAAAATCTAATTGCGTTTCAATGCGTTAGGACGGAATTGAAACTCGTAGAACGAATTAAGAATCAACAAGCAATGTTAGATTTTAGACAATATCTCAACAATTTGTGACTCTTTATCAAATCCAACGGTACGTATGGAAAGGTGAATAAATTTGCAAGTCATCTTTGACAGAAATATTCCATTTTTTGTTTAAACTCGTTCAGAAAAGAGAAGTAAAGCGCGGGTTGTGCTTAGTAGGACGGAAATTAGATCAAAAACCCTATATACGATTTAATCTGTAATAACAAATACCATTTGAAAAGCCTTACGATGTAATCCGATTTAATTTGTGATACAGTACGATGGAAAAATTATTCGTCGCATATAAGTCGGAAATTTGCATTCTATACGTTTTAACTTAAACATAATGCGATGTATGTCATACTTATATGCGATGTTGACTTAAACTGTAGTTATTTACGATACTGTCTGTACATTGTTATACGACTTCTGGTTGTCTGGGTATTCATACGACCTATTGTCAGATGCTTATGGGATTTTACCAGGAGTAAAAAGTTGCATAGTCGCTGTCAACGTCAATTACTTACTTACAATGCTGCAAACGTAAATAATTAATTGTTGCGTGAATTTCTCGAAAATGAAAACTCACTCATGAAAATCAACACCATGGTTGTGTAGAGAAAGAGTCCAACTATCCGATAAAGTGGGTAGATCACCTTTTCGTGGTACGTTACGGAATGTAAGATCTACCGCCGATTCCTAGTCCTGACTACTTCAAACTAGGGGAACAGGATTTTTCAGTACTTCAAGGAACACATCTTAGTCCTTGTTACTTTTTATGCCTTGTTGATAGTGACAAGACTCGGCTTTGTCTACCGAGGATGATCTTGAAACAAGGAAAAAAATGAGTTAGTTGACTTCATCTATGTGATTCCTAATCTTCTATTCGTTGTTCCCTAGTTTGAAGTGGTTAAGACTAGGGTTCTGATGCATGGTCATTATCGGTGTCATGTCTTGTTTTTTTTGCTAAGGAATCCAATTTTGACTGACAAAGGGGCGCGCCTTTGGAGGGTGTTTCAACACTCCGAAGGGTATAAATAGCGGGACCTTTCAATTAGAGTCGGATCCTTGCGATAAATGCAAGAGTGGCAACTGTAAAAAAAATCGAATACTTCATCATTTCTCAATAGTGATGGAGTAATACGACATGCACTAAACTAAGGACACGGGATATACTACAATAGATCAATTTACTGGTCGCAGTAGTGTTTGGTCCCGAACAGAGGAAAAAAAAAATCCGATAAAATTAGTGGCTTACATGGATTGGCTTTGACGTACGAGACATTAACGAAAGAAGCCATTATTTATGTTTTCGACATTGGTCCTTATGAATGCTCAGTGTCGATATCACAAAAATTTTATTTCGACAGATCGATGTCCAACTATGCCAGTTCTACCACTGAGGCAGAAAAATGTGATTTTACTCAGGCACTTTTGAGCAAACTGCAATCACTCTCTCAGACTCGAAATGTGCCACGACCAAATTGGCACAACGACGCCCTATACGCTATCTGACAAAGCGCAGGGACTGATAAATTTGTCTGACATGCTCCAAAACTTGATGTACAGTTGCAAAACTTAATTCTGTATCGTTTTTGAAAGGATCCTGCTGGTGTTCAAGAATATTTTTGTTGAGAAAATTAGAATAGTGCCTTAGTGGTTCTGATCTTCCGGATTTTTGTGTGTGAATAATTGAGGTACAAATCAGGTCAGATCTGTGGAAAGTCGTAAAATAAGATAATTACCGATGGAAATTGCCAATGAAAAATGCTTTAATTTGCGTTATAAAAAATCCTTTATCTGATGTAAACACATGGTTTGGTTGACGTTTCCTCTCGAACTCAACTGGCGCCCTGTAATTTGGTGGTACATTGAAAAAGCCTATAGGCTCTTTTCATGCACCATCAATATAGAGTGCGCTAGGCGATGTTGAGAGGAAATGTCATCCATTCCGTTTCTTTAAATCATGATAACGATTTTCAAAACTCTAAGTAATGCATATTTTATTGCACATATTTTTGGAAAATTTCGGAAGACAGTTTTATTAATCTTAATTTTTAAAAACAAAATATTCGAAGTGGATGACGATTTCAAGCACCTGCGATGGATTGATTAACTAGGAAAGGTGAAAATATTATCCGCTTCCTTTGCTTCGCGGCTAAAATATAATTGGGCTTTTTAATGCACCACCAATGTAAAGGGCACCAAGCGAATTCGAGAGGAAACGTCAGCCAAACTGTTTGTTTACATCAGAATGAGGATTTTTCACAACGCAAATTAAAGCATTTTTCATTCAACATCTTGCCAATTTCCATCAGTAGTTGCCATATTTTACGATTTTTCACAGATCTGAACTGATTTGCACCTTAACTATTCACACACAAGAAATCCGGAAGATCATAACCACTAAGGAACTTTTATAATTTTCCATTTTTCTCTACAAAATTATTCCTGGACACTAGCAGTATCCTTGCAAAAATTTTCAACTGTAATACCCCGTTCACATTACAGCGTATATCACGTGATATACGCTGTCTTGCAATGAGCACTCATACATAGGATTTCCAGTGAAAACTAGATGTATGAATGCTCATTGCAAGACAGCGTATATTACGTGATATACGATGTAATGTGAACGGGGTATAAAAAGGCGTATGGTCATCACTCTTTTGAGGGTTCCCCTATTCACCACCAGAGGCTGAAACGATCACTTAGTTTCTATTGGATTCGTCTATTGGGATGAACCTTCAACATAACAATATGATCCAGTCATGCCTTTTCCAAATATTACAATGGCGTCCCGCAAAATATTGCTTCACGCACCATCTAGCGTTGAAAAAGGTCAGCAACAATCATTCAATTACAATCGAGGGGTGTGAATATAGCACTTATTACAAACGTAAGAGTCACATTATTTTCATTAATTACATTGTGTATATTACTTTAGAAATTTTCTGACATGTCACTGTTGTCATCAAATAAAATAATATGCTAAAATACATTCATTTGAAATATTAAACACAGGGGTGCTTTCATCGCTAAAAATTTGGTTCGCCAGCTAAGCGAAAGAGTGGATCATATTGTTAATATAATTGCTTTGATGCTCTTCCACGAGCTTTTGCCTGCTCTCAACTTTTCACGGCTTTTAATTGAGGGCAAGTCAATGCTTCATATTTTTTTCCTTTATTTAACGTCGGTCTCTGTTCCGCAATCTAGTGCCAATCACCGACGGACATCGATTGCCAATCACCGGCAGTGGCACTAGTCAATGTATGACATTGTATATTATGTGGCATACACAATAATACCATAGAGGTAACTCTAAGACCAGAAGGTCACGAAGTAACGTGCTCAACTTTTTGGCTCAGCTCTGGTACTATCATCACGAACGAAGTGACAGACGGAGCGGCTCGAAAACTTTGGTGACTAACCTGCTATTCCAATTTTTCAGTGTACCACATGGCAACACCACTACTACTGGATTGCACCACATGGCAACACTACTACTGGATTGAACTAGCATTTTCACCAAATGTACTAGAGTGTTTTGGTTCTATCTCTTTCACTCTACTCAAAACTGAAATGCATAAAAAAAATTACAAAATGATACGTACTCTTTGCACACTGTCAAAGAATCATTGTACACAAAATCAACTTTGTGCAAAACCAAACAAAAATACTATCCCATCTGGTGGATGATGGCACAAGCTTCTAAGAAAATTCTATTACAGCGAACCACATTATTTTAATTGATTTCTTCGCCAGTTAGTCGTCTGTCACTTCGTTTGTGCTATCATAGAGGTAACTCTAAGACCGAAAGGTTCCGAAGAAAAGTGCTCAACTTTTTGGCTCAGCTCTGGTACTCTCTTCGGTCCCAAGCTAATCGATGCACCCCTCGAAACATAGAAAAATCCACGAACCCCTCATTTTATCTGTCAAATTTTCATAGCGAATCAAAACAAACATAGTGTAGTACTAGAATTTCGACTAGAATGGGGTACGTTAATCGATTTGCTTGGGACCAATAGGCTAGTCAAATAGTGAGCCAATTCAAAATCGTTAGTTTCGTATTGAGTGTTGGTACTGTCTTCGGTCCCAAGCTAGTCGATTCACCCCTCGAAACAAAGGAAAATCCACTAACCCCTCATTTTATCTGTCAAACTTTCAAAGCGAATCAAAACAAACATTGTGTAGTACTAGAATTTTGACTAGAATCGGGTACGTTAATCGATTTGCTTGGGACCAATAGGCTAGTCAAGTAGTGAGCCAATTTAAAATCGATAGTTTCGTATTGATTATTGATAATACTCTACTGGCTTTAGCCTACAGGGAAGTCGAGAATATTTTCAATCCGAAATATGTTCTAGACCGGATTGAGAGTGGAATATTTACACCGCCTCCGGCTTGTTAATACCATGCTTTTAATAAATAGGCTATTCGAGGCTCCCCAATATAAACTTCGGATGGCTACCTAAATCTGCTTGATTACTTGGCAGTGAGGAAGTGAACGAAATACGCGTAAAAATCTATCAAAAGATAAGCAATTATAACTGAATTAAAAGGAAATAACTCAATCCACTCAAAAGCTCTTGGTAAGGGATTCCGTTAAGAGGTTCGACAACATTAAAAGATATTTATCTAAATAAGCAAAAACTTTGTGAGAAGGGTTATGATCTGATTTTAAATCGATTGAGCTAAGTGTAGTAAAATTGATAATTTGAATCGCCCTTAAAACATTTGAGTGTGTAGGTGTCTAACGATTATAACACCAGCAGGCGTAGTTGGTCACGTCTTTGTTTTAGATTTTTCGCAACGTTATTTTCTTACGCCTGTAAATAACAAACGTCCACTGACGAGTCCAGTGACCCACTTCACAGTCACGGCATGTTTGCGCCTTTGAGGATCCATGTGTATATTCTTCATACAATGGTGCTGGTCATCATGCGCATATTCGTGTGCCATTCGCTAGCTTCGCATATTCTAGTCTAGCACAAGGCACCTACCAACCTATATGTGAGATAATAAGGGACAGTCATCAAAACAAAACGCTCACGCTGGAAAACGGGTCTGGATAGTTGAAAATAATGATTCTTTAATTACCTCATTGTTGTGTACGGTTGTGTTGGGTAGATATGCAGGTGGGAGCGAACTTGCTAAAAATGCAGCAGTTAAAATTCCCACATCTACCTGCCTACTTCAAGGAAAACTGCTCGCTCTGCTCGATGGTGATAAAGCGAGCTCCGTTGGTTTCGTCCCAGCAGGGATGGGATCGACCGAAGTACAGTTCGGCCACGGCTCCCTTGGAAGTAAGAGCACAGCAAGCTGCTTCGAATCCCACTTCGACGCATACCGCTTCCAGGCGGCCACCCAGCATGGCTGCAATGAACCCGCTGGAGAAACTGTCACCCGCACCGGAAACGTTGACAATGTAGTCCAACTTCCGGCCAGGGTAGAAACGTGTTTGCGGCTTGTCGGCGACTCGCCGTTGATAAGTTTCAGTGGAATCGAAAAAGGGAACTTGTTCACACGCTCTGCGAATGATCACAACTCCGTAGTACCCCAGGGTGACGATCACGTTGTCCACGTGATTGACGGTGAAAGATCCGAGTGTTCGCACCTCCTGCAGTAGGTCGTCCAGTTCGCTGAAGTTTTCTATCAGCGTATTGGCAATGGGCTGTTCCTTGAAACCTAAATTCTTGGCAATTTCTCTCAGCTCGTACAGGTTGGGGGTGATGAAGCGTATGACCTTACAGGCATTATCGGAGGCGTTGAAGGGTTTTGCGGCAAATCGCATGTCCGTTGGTTCGAAAAAGACTGCAAATGAAAAGAAGAAAAACATGCAATTCATTACATACTACAGTCATTTATAATTGTGACATTGAAACTGTTTGTGGTTGTTAGGTTTTTTGCTTTTCTGCTCTCGGTGGTGGCGGTGGCGGCGGTGGCGGCGGTCTTGTGCCGGCGACGACGCTGTCAATAGCGGTTGTTTATGTGAATACATCTGAATACCTACGTGTGAAGCTACTTATTGTAGAGTGGAGTGTCTATTAGCTTTTTTTTTATACTGCTAACTGATTAGCGCTTTGCGCATAATGCGGCTGAATGGCATGAGTCAGCATTCAGTGGAAATGTGGAATGGGATTTTTGCATGGTTCTAGAATTGGACTGGTAAAAAATGCAACTATCTTTGAACGGGGTTTTCTATTTAAAACAAAAAAAAAACAGTTCAACACATAAATACTATAAACGGTAACTTGAATGGCACACACAAAAAATGAATAACAATCAATGTAGCAGGTTTATCAGAGTATATACCGTGCAAAATATATCTCAGTGCATATTGTGAAATTTGCGTCATTTAAGACATCGGTGCAAAAAAAAAATGGATTGAATTGTATAGTAATTATTTTTTCACACGTGTCTGAAAATCAATAAATCTACACAATTGGTGTCTCAAATGTCGGTTTGGGATCGTATCGATTATTATCGTATCTGCACAGAATTATCAAGGGACCTCCTTATTATAAAAAAAGATCTGTTTTAAATTCTTGTCAAAATGTTCATGGAATTTTCCTTAAAAACCAGCTGGGTATCCTTCTCTTGATCCGCATTCAATTTTTCTCTGAAACACCTAGGAGTTCTCATTGAAGATTTTTTTTTACAACCATTGAATTTTTCTAATAATTACCTAACAAAGCTTTAGTAAATTTTGAACAAAGCTGACTAAAAGTAAATTTGTACGCACAAAAAGACCTGTTTGTCGTGATTCAATAAGTTTAAAAAGTCCATTAATGGTTGCTTTACAGTACTTTTATTAAAACTTCGAAGCTACAGCATTAGATGGTTACATTTCTCCAGTTCGAACAAAATCTCGAACCTTTCTCTGGATGGAGCCCATCTGCGCCCGCACAGTGGAAACGGACATGGAGTCAGCGCATTTTTTCCATTTTGCCCGTATTTGCTGGATATCGGGACACGCTTGGTCGAAGTCGCTGCTTTGAAATTGCCCAGTATTTTTCGTTTGGTCGAAATTCCGGGCAATTCAAAGGATTCATTAGCTTGGGGACATAATCGATCTTGTTGGCAGCATACCACTCTAGAACCACCTTGGAGTAGTGGCAGCTGGGTAAATCGGACCAAAAGATGCTTGCGGATGAACAGCAATACACGCTTTTTCAGGCATTCTTCGATGTAAACTTGGGATGTCATCGTCGAGGATGTGACGAATGGTTCCGTGTTCAGGCCACAACTGCAAATCGCTTGCCAAATCATGGCCTTCTTCGCGACCTTGTCGGCAAACTCGAACTTGAATCTTCCCGGCACATCCCCACGTCCAGCCGCGATGTGAAACTTTTGACCGGGAAGCTGCTTAAAATCGAGTTTGACGTATGTTTCGCCATCGATCAAAGTGCAGCCTTTGTGTTTCGTCAAAACACGATCGTACAAGAGCCTTGCACGCTTTTTGGTCACGGAATTCTGCTTCATGTGGCGGTTCGGATGTTTACTTGTTTTTTTTACGACTTGTATCCTTACCTAGCAAGGATGTTCCGCACCGTTTGAAAGTTGGCGTTGTACCTTCTGGCCACATCTCAGATCAAAAGACCAGGGTTGACTTTAACGCACCTCAACACCTTGCTGCGCAGCTGACGATCCCTGGTTCTAGTTTTTCTGTAGGTCCGCTGATTTCTTTCCACACTCAGGGTTTCCTTGTAGGTTTTGAGCACTAGACAAACTGTTGTTTTCGGCATCTTCAGCACTTTAGCCAGCTTGGAAGCGAACCACTCCGGATTTTCCTGGTGTTTGTGCACAATATGTTTTCTTCTTTCGAGTTCTATTTGACGTTATTCCTGAACGCGATCGACTACTTTGATCAAACTTGCAAAAGTTGTTCTCTATAGAAGTGTAAACAAACCACTGTCAAAGATTTTCGATTCCCAACACTAGAGGCGTGCTAGCGACGTGCGAGGGGCGTACCAATTTACCTTTAGTCACCCTTTATCAAAATATGCCCAAACACGTCCAAGGTGTTTCTGTGAGATTCTCAAAATTGTTCTGGATCTGAAATCAGATGATGAATTAGATCAACCATGTCTGGCACATTGTCCGTAGCATCGTAGTAGTAGATTCACAGAAGTAACAACAATCAACACGAAACTAACGATTTTAAATTGGCTTACTACTTGACTAGCCTCTTGGTTCCAAGCAAACGATTAACGTACCCCATTCTAGTCGAAATTCTAGTACTACGCAATGTTTGTTTTGATTCGCTATGATAGTTTGACAGATAAAATTAGGGGTTCGTGGATTTTCCTATGTTTTGAGGGGTGTATCGATTAGCTTGGGACCGAAGAAGTAACCAGAGCTGAGCCAAAAAGTTGAACACGTTTCTTCGGGACCTACTAGTCTAAGAGTTACCTTTATGCTTGTATGACAAACCTTGAGCAAGATCAAGTTTTGAATACTGTGCGTGATAATTTGATCTCGTGTTGCTGATGCAATGGTGCTTGGTCTTGCGTTTTTCTTTGTTGCCCCGTACGACCTCTAGCACGCTGATCTATTTTTCTGTTGCTGCGATGAGCAACGTCTTTGTGTAGTGTTAAAGAAGAAAGTCCGAAAACACATGACCTTGATTATGCGTGGAGTGTGTTCTTTTGTGGATGCGAGCTAGAAGAGCGTTATCAGTGATTGCGGTGGTTCAAGGAAAATTAAATAAAGCATTTCTGAAAACATGACGCTGCAAAGTCTCTAGGCCAATCGGGTGAGATCTTTCCATTTTATCTATTTATATTTCATTTTTGTCACTGATTAATCAAATGCTCTATATTGACGAATAGAGTTTCCAAATCATTCAAGCTCCCACTAACACAACTCTTTCCTTCCTGTGACACCTATGAAGGTAGTATGGGTTCTCTGCACCTTGTTAAGTAGATGTTGGATTAACTTTCCCTCCCTTCCCCTGCGATTGTAAGGATGTGGCCAGGTGTATAATGCGATGCTTGTATTGTAGATTTTATTTTTGAGTGGGGAAAATCACTAATCCCAAGTGATATTTTCTGCGTCAACACTCGATATTTTCTGCAAAACGTATTAGTTGACCATTATATAGCCACCCACGATTTGTACAATCGCATATGCTATGCTATGCTATGCTTTGACAAACCTTGAGCAAGATCATTATTTGCATTTCAAAATTGGGGTCCTTGAAATTTTTCAAAAAGTTGCACAGAAATGGCATTTCTGATTGAAATTACATCTGGGACAAAGTTGTAGTGAAAAGTAATGTATAACTGGGAAATGTTTTTTTTCATTAATTTTAAGTGACTATTAAATAAAACAAAATTAAATTCCAAGTATCTCAAAATGTCCTTGTCCGATTTTTGAAATCTTTATTAAAAAGTAAACTTATGGAATTTTCAAAACCATGGACAGTTGGAAACTGATAAAATTCGTTGAACATGAAATTTTGGTCAAACGTCATTTGTTGAACAAATTTAAAGACGCCATTTTAAAAATCTTACAAAATCCAAAATGATTGAATTTTAGCCACAATGCGAATCATTGTCCATAACAAACAAATATGCAAAATTTCATGCAAATGGAAGAAGGCCAAATTTTCCGATTCGTTATTCCTCACAAACGAAGTGACAGACAGAGCGGCTCGAAAACTTTTGTGACGAACCTTCTATTGCAATTTTTCAGTGTACCACATGGCAACACTACTACTGGATTGTACTAGCATTTTCACCAAATGTACTAGAATGTTTTGGTTCTATCTCTTTCACTCTACTCAAAACTGAAATTCATGTAAAAATGACAAAATGATACACTCTTTGCTCACGTCAAGATCATTGCTCACAAAATCAACTTTGTTTAAATCAAAAGAAAAATACCAGTCCATCTGGTGGCTGATGGCACAAGCTTCTAAGAAAATTATATTACAGCAAACAACATTATTTCAATTAATTTCTTCGCTAGTTAGTCGTTTGTCACTTCGTTTGTGTCAAAACGTACCAAACGATTCAAGATACATGATAATTCAAAAACAAGATCTTCGGTGGATATATTGAATACCCACTACCCCGTTCCTGGAGATGAACTAGCCACTCAGACATGTTCCAGGTACCCCTGTGGAAGCGGCCGAATCTGACTTGAACTACACTCGGACATATTCATGTTTCCCTTGGGGAAGTGATCAAAATCTGACTTGAACTAAAACCTATCATGCGACACCTCAAATCAAATTAGAATGAAAAATTAGATCATTGGTGGTCATATTGAGTGTAAAGGGTGTCCACGATGAAATTGCCACACACAAAATTGATTCGCAAAATTCGAGTTTTCATCCGATTGCCATCAAATTTTCAGGGATTGAGAAATAACTATTAAACTTCATTTTACCATTTTACTCGTATTTTATTTACAGTCCATACGCAAATGCCCGCACCTTGGCCTTAACCCCGGCCATAAGATTCTGCACAACCTGTGAATCAACCGTTTTTTGCATGTAAACCCATACTTTCTTCAGTTCCTCGACTGTCTTCACTACCTTAGGTCGTTTAAGAAGGTGCTGCTTCATAATCGGCCAGTACTTCTCGATGGGGCGGAGCTCCGGAGTGTTGGGAGGGTTGAACATTTTCGGCACGAAATTGACCTTATTGTCCGCATACCACTTCAGCACGTCCTTGGGGTAGTGGCATGAGGCCAAATCCGGCCAGAAGATTGTTGGGACGTTGTGGGCCTTCAGGAGAGGAAGCAGCCGCTTCTGGAGGCACTCTTTTATGTACACCTGTCCGTTCATCTTGTCCTGGGTCACG